AATAAATTACTGGAACATTTATACTCTCCTGCTGAGTTAAGCTGCTTGATTTGGGGTAAGTGAAAGAACAATAGCACATTTGCTGGAAATTTTTATTTCCACCATTCAGAGACCATTTGTGAATTCAGCAAACTGGATCTGAATAAATTTGGATGCTGGTGGTGAATAACTGGGAACTTAAGTGCTTACAAAGCTTCTAGTGGCAGTGTCCTTTTTTGCAGTATGCCAGAGGCTAGAGAATTACCTTCTAGTACTACATAGTTTTTACATGAAATTTGGGGAAAGGCAGCTTTTCTAGCATTTTCTAGTATTTTATGGTCTATTTGTGTAGTGGGTCATGTCAAGAAAACAGAATCCTTTTGGGGTTGGTCCAGTTACTCAAAGGCAAGAGAAAACAACTTTCTATGAAACAGAAGTTAACTGTTACCTAAAGAGTATTTCTGATGCCATATTTGCAGGTTTACCAGTTTGGGGCATGACATTTGTGCATCCGGTAGTTTTGTTAGTGCTTTTACAAGTACAGCAAAACCTCGGTAGACAGTACATTCAGAAAAGGTGGTGCTAGCACCACAGCATCCCACTAGACTATTTCTCTGTCAATCACAGTGTCAGTTAAGCCCCACATTGCTGAGACAGTATGTGGAAATCATAGCCCATCTCAATGCCAGTAGGGAGAATTTATTTTTGTTATGGTATATCGTGGTTGTCCCACGTGATGTTCATTGCATGGCACAGCTTCTGTGGTGTAGTCTAGCTGAGAATAAGAATGCAGGAGGAGGGCAGAAAGGGCTAGTGACAATTCCTTTAAACTGAGTACTGAGACATTTCACACCTCCCCACACCATCTTTCCCACAGTCCATCCCTTTCAGGGAAAAGTTCCAAGGGGATACTCTGAGGGTGGCTTTGCACAATTTCTCTGGGCCTTGCATCTTTTTCTTGTGTGAGGGTGCAGTGTGGCCCTCATTACAATTTTAACTGGGATCATGGGTTGTGTTTTAACATAGGCACTAGAAAGTTTTAGAATGTGTTGCGTTTTAGTGATTCCAGTCCCTCTGTCTCTGAGTGATGTTTTCTCAGGAGTTCATGACTGCAGAAAGGCAAGCTATGACCTAAAATCAGAAATGCTATAAGACAAAGTTGCTCTTTAAATGGGAAAAAACACAGGTGAGGCCACTCTTGGAGTACTGTGTTCAGTTGTGAGCTCCTCGGTACAAGAGAGACATGGACATACTGGAGAGTCCAACAAAGGGTCTCAAAGATGTTTAAGGGACCGGAGCACCTCTCCTATGAGGAGAGGCTGAGAGAGCTGAGGCTGTTCAGCCTAGAGAAGAGAAGGTTCAGGGGGAATCCCATCAATGTGGTCAAACACCTGAAGGGAAGGTGCAAAGAGGATGCGCCAAGTGCTTTTCAGTGGTGCCCAGTGGCAGGACCAGAGGCAATGGGCACAAACTGAAATGCAGGAGGTTCCTTCTGAACAACGGGAAACACTTTTTTTACTGTGAGCATGACTGAGCACTGGCACAGGTTGCCCAGGGAGGCTGTACAGGCTCCATCCTTGGAGATATTTAAAAGCTGTCTGGACGTGGTCCTGGGCATGCAGCTCTAGGTGACCCTGCTTGAGCAGGGAGAGTTGGACCAGATGATCTCCAGGGGTGCCTTCCAACCTCAACCATTCTGTGATTCTGTGAAAGAAAAAAAAAAAAAAAATATGCTGTCTCAATTTGAAAGCTAGGTGATGTGCAGAAGACAATTGTTTTTGCAGCCTAACACTTTTGCTGTCAGTGCTATTAAAGAGAGACTGCAATATGAGTCAGGAAAGACACCATGGCCTGGTGAATGTGAAAAATATGGATCTAGTTTTATAGCTTCTTTCATTTTACCAAGTTGAAAAGCAGTCTGATTGAAATTATTGCATCAGATGACGTTGAATATCTAGTTTTCCCTTGCATGCATCATTCTTTGAACAGCAATATAACAGTCTTCAGCCTTTTAACGGACAGCTATACTTTTTGTTCATCTCCAAAAGACAAACCTGTGGCGCTGAAGCATACTCATAGAGTATTTTGCTCTCCAGTTTTAATATATGTTTTGATTAATAAATAAGTAAATAAACTAAATGGAAGGAAAGTAATTAACTATACTTCCTAACAGAAGTATTGTTTATTATTTTCATGCCAAGAATCAAAATTGTCCTTTGGGACCAATATTCCTAAAATAACACAGTATTTTAGTATATAGCAAGGGAAGATCTATCAATCTACTCGCCTTCAAAATGTTAGCTGCTGTTTTGCTTCATAACTACTTTTGGAACTTCCTAACCAATGGGAGGTCTGTGAAGGCTTTGCTCCTTTTTGGGTTTGGTTTGGGGGGTGGTGGTGGGTGTTTTTTTGGTTGGTTGGTTAGGCTTTAATGGACCTGTTAACATATCTGCACATAAAGCCAGACTGTGATGCCTACAGGACATGCAGCGTGAAAAAGGGAGGCTCCCTGGCACAAAGCTTGTTTTGCTGTGCACTGGGAATGTTCACCAGGGGTAGGATATAGAGTAGCTTACGTGCACTCTATACATTTTATTTCATCTTATTACTCCCTGATTCCTTGTATGGACAAGAAAATAGGATTCTAAAATAGGGAAAGGAATATTGTAGGTATGACAGAAAATTATTTTAGCCCCTGTTCTTCTGGCCATTAGAAACAGAAGGATAATCACTTCAAAAGCATAAAGCCACAAGGGCATTTCTGTGCTGTCCTTCTAGGTTTGCCTTCAATCTTTCCCATTCCCAGAGCTAATTTCTGCTGTCACTCTGACTAGTACTTTCATTGCCAGAAGTGTAGTGCTGGCCATAGGAAAGTCGCATATAGGTCAGTAATAAGACTGTTGGTATGAATAGGGATTTACTATGGGTGACAGCCTAAGGTTTTCACTTTTTTCCAGAGGAAATCATATAATTCTTTTGTCCCATTTTTGCAGTCTCCTTTTTGTCACAGCAGTAGCTCTGTGCATTCATAGCACTGATATGTAAACCTGGGAGGAAAGTGCAAGCTTGGGACTTCAACCCTTTGATTAGAGTTTTAAGCCCCTGAAAGTGTCAGCCGACAGCAGCTGTTTTAAAATGAAGGGGAGAGAAACAAACTTGTTTGGGGTGTGGGGATGAGGAGAAACAAGTGCATATTCATTGGTCCCTTCTGCTTCATTTTGTCAACTGGCAGTTTTCTTCAAGTGCCATTAGGTCAATCCTTTAGGACACTTATGCCTAATCTCCCAACAGCTTTAAATCCTGACCACTAATATAGCAAATGCCTGTGCTACTATATCAGCCTTAGAGCTACTGTCGTACAAAGGAGCCTTGGAAAAGGGCCGACTCAAATGGCTATTTAATTCCCTGTGAGTTTAATGGTACCTAACACTTTTTCTCTGGCTTGGAAAATACCTCACTAGAGTTTTGCTAGAACCTCGATGGTTTTGTTTTATGTTTTGAAGTAGTCCAACTCTTGATGAATTTAAAAAGTAATTGATGATCCTGTTACCTAATTTAGAAATAGAATGGACCCTGCTTTCATGGAGAATTGGAGTTTATGTATCTATGATTAAAATATGACTGTGGAAATAAAAAAGAGAAAAGTCCTTTCTTAATGGAAGGCTTTTATGGAGGATTCGAAGATACATGTTGTTGCATTTGGAACAAGCCTTTATCTTAACTCCTCTCTAGCTTTAGAGTAGAGGGTTGGTTCATCATGTCTACCAAGTTTGAATACTGTATGAAAATTTTCCTCTGAGTTTCTGACATGCCAATAATCTAATTTGATTACTATGTTAGCCATTGTATTTAACTTTTACACATTTTTATTCATTTGTATAGCAAAGGCTTTATAGAAGAATGTAGTTGCAGGCTTTTTCAGATCTTTTTTTGGATGTTATTTTAACATGCTTTGCTGCCCCAGAAGTGCAATGCAGTTGTGTACATGAGGGTTACCAAAGAAGATGATAGGTATTTCTTGTAAAGCTGAGACATACTTCCACAGAAGGTTTTACATAATAAACCATCACCCCTGGTTCTTTTACAATAAAGTTTAACCATTGCTTTATCATTTTACCTAAAACAAATAATAACTGTGTTTTTTCCATAAATCTGGGAAATAAACACTAGGAAATGTCTTTAAGGGTTTGTTTCGTATTCTTTCTTGTTTGTTTGTTTGATTGGTTTTTTTGTTCTTAAATTTGAGGGGAAAAAGAAGTTTGTAAATAATTTTTATTTGTTGATTGACTTATGAAAATTATTTATGACTCCTTGAACTGTGGAAGAATATATATACTATCCATTAAACATACCCCAAATTTGGAATATTGATGTAATGCTGAAAATTTTTAAATCTTTTAAATCTGCTTTTCAGCCAGTAGTATAAGAGTATGAAAAATGGACAAGTAAGGTACATTTAAAAAATTCAAAAGCTGTCTGTTCTTCCAAACTCTTCCATTTCTGGAATGAACTCTTGTCATTTTTCTTCATTATCTCGGCCTTCCGTATGAGACCAGAAGCACAAATGTCAAAATCATTTAAGATAAGCCTTTCTCGTAGTATTTCTAAGTTGTAGAGAAGAGGAAAGCATTGGCAGTCTTGCTGGGAAGACTGTGCTCCTAAGGTTAATTGGCCAGCTTTTCAGAATCATAGAATCATAGAATGGTTTGGCTTGGAAGGGTCCTTAAAGATCATCTAGTTCCAACCTCCCTCGCAGTTCTGTTTTCTGTTTAGTTTGACATCTGTGTATTTCTGCTATCTTCAGTAGAATTATTTCTTATCCATACAGGAGTTAATTAGAGTTAATCCACCCTAATTGATGAAATAAGGCATTTTAGTGCCCAACTGTGGAGTACATATCCACGGAGTCTTTTTAAATTTTGTTTATCATTACTTACCCAACATGAGACAGTAGGGGAAATGCTGTTAATATACTTCATCATGTCTTTCTTCACCCCATCTTTTGTTTTCTTTGCCTTTAGGGTGAACCTGGTCTGCCTGGCATAGCAGGAGAGAAGGGAGCAGCAGGGCTTAAGGTTGGTTTTAAAAATGGATTAAAAACAGAAGCACACAGTACGCGAGTGCATGTATAGATGACAGTCATGCTTTCCAACTTGGGTTTATATTCTGACTGGCTTTTAATGATCTGCTCCCTCCAGTGATCAGTGCTGTAAGAGGCTTTACACATTTCACCATAAAGAAGCATATTCTTCTGCTGTGCATGTATAATTCCAGTCAGTGGCAGTGACGCATATGCATCCACTGCCAAGTGAATGCAATATGCCTGCAAGTGTTTGGGAATTTGGGGACCTTTTTAGAAAGGCTTTGTTTATGCTCCTTACAATGAGTTTCAGGCTTCTTTTCAAGAATTACTGTGGTCAATTCTTTGACAAATATCAGGGTTAAGTCTTGAGGGCCGATCCTGCTATTATGGAAGTTAGCAAAGCGCCTCATTAGGAGCATAATTACATAAGAATGTCTCTTTGCACTTATTTTACTGTTAAATAATTTGTTCTGCTGTTTTAATACTGAACAAGTCAAATAGAACATAAAGCTTATGATAACTTCGTTTAAAAGAAAGCTCGCTTTATCCGAGATGATGGGATCTGTAGGCCTCTTGGAACGGGTAATGCTAAATTCTAATCCCATCAGCTGCGAGCGTGCGTCTTTGGTGCACATGTGCTCCTCAGCTGATTCTGTGCATCACGCTGCTGCTGACAGACACGCAAGGCAGGCTCTTTACGTTTACTGACTGGCTGCTTGTCCATCAGGAATGAAAACAACCCATTTGGGAGCATGACCTTTTCTTACTTTGTATACAGAAGAAGCCAAATTATGGCGGTTGATGCTTAATTTGTATTCACAGCTGTAGTCTTTGAGTTGCCTAGCAACTGCCAGCCATCTGAAGGGGCAGAGATGAGCCAGAGTGCAGTTCTGAGCCAGAAATGCAGAGATGAGTTGTCAGGGTCAGGCTGGTGTGCAAAAGTGCATTTGCCATTGAACCAGTTTTTCAAGCAAGTTACAATTTTGAAAAATAATGGATGGCTATAAGCAGCCATCTTTTTGTTACAGAGAATGTAAGGAGCACCAAAGGCTCTTTGCTCTGAATTGGTTATGAGTTAGTTCAAGGCACTTAAGGCATTTTGTCTCTCCTGAGGAGCCTTCTAAGCCATTAACAGAATTATGAGACTTTCCCCTCACATTCAGCCTTTGGATTTTTCCTTTGTTCATTCCCAAAATAAGGAGAACCAAATGTAGGAGTCACCTAGGTCCTGGCAGGCCACTTCACAAAGACATATGCCTGTTTGTCAGGGTTTAATCTAGGGGGAAAGTCTTTAAATGCAAATCATTAAGCTTTTAAAATTATGTTGAAGATATATTGTCTGTTGAGTTCTATTAAATTTACACATTTATTCTTTATTGAAGATTTTCTTGTTGGATTTTATCATCTGAGACAATGTCATCAGTAGTGACATAATTGTTAGTAACTGACATACTAATGATTCAGTTAGTATTATTAATGATAGTAATACTAACACTTTGATTTTTGCTTGTGTTAGTAACTTACGACTTCTTTGCTCCAATTGTTTTCATCAGGGTGACCCTGGAGAACGAGGAGAAAAGGTGAGACCTGTTTCACTTCCTTTGTGGTGGTTCTGTTTTGGAGAACTGCTTGGAGAATTGCCAATGCACTGATTTGTAGTTTTAAAAGAAATAAATACAGCTACTACCTAAAACTTGAGTGGCATTGTGCAGCCTTTACGAGTGTCAAATAATACCTACTAATGGAAGTTACTGATCTGAGATTACTGCAGTGGGATTAGTCACAGAGAGCAGTGGTCATGTGTTAAAGGCTGCACAGTTGAGCAACTGTGCAACTAATCCTAACTATGATTAGTCTCAGAAAAAGATCAGCCTGTTGGAGTAAATGAGAGATCCACACATTTCTCATAACTTGGTTTCAATGCTCTGTCACCTGTGCAGAGTAAAACAATTAGGTAACAGAGTGATAACTGCACAGACTCTAAATGATTATGGGTAACCAGTTCTCCACATACTAAAAGTGAAGCCCTCCATTCTTGCTTGGATCAGTTTAAGAAAAAGCGAGGGAATCTGCCCTGATGATCTTAGGCTATAGAGTGTCTGGAGAGGTACCAGCAGCACAAATGGTACACTAACAGTGCTCTGACTTGCAATGAGTTAGCGAGGAGTTACTTCTCTGACATTCACAGTTATGCCAAGACAAGATGAGGGGGTGGGACAAGCTCCGTGCTGCAAAACATGGGTGTCGTTCTGCTCATCCAGGGAGAGTGGCCAGTAGGAGCATCTGTGTGAGAGTACACACTGAGTGAGAGTCAAGCTTCTGCATCTGTACAAGGGCAGTTTGAGAAATGGCATAAGCCTTGTTTTGAATAGGAATCTGTACACAGCCTTGTCTTCTGCGAGTACGCTGAGACGTGTTTTTAAAAAGTAAGTTGCTTATATTCAGGTGCAATTTGCTCTTGAGAAATGTTTACCCATGTCTTTGCAGCTGCAGTTGAATTTCACTTCCAGATCTGTGTAAATCCATGTAATAGCAGCTGGAAGCATGCTTTGCAAAGGCAATTCATTTCACATTTTGAAAAGCACATCATAAAAATAATCCAGGGAATTCTTGAAAGTATATACCCCACATGTAGAAGTATGTAACTGGGAATCTCTTTTCATTAAATCATTACTTTGGTTAAAATTATATTTGATGAAAAATTCACTAATCCTTTGTTTGTTTTCAGATACAAGAGGAATAACTATAAATTTTAACATATACTGATTTTCTGTTACTTAAAATCATGATATATAATCATCCTTTTTCCTAAAAAATGTAATTATAAATGCCCTCAGTATGCTTTATCATGTTGAATGAAGTTGGGATGACATTCCTAACAGTTACTGTTTTGTGTTTCCATGTTTCATCCAGCCCTTTAATTAAGTGCTGCTAGATTGTTAGCTAGTTCCCATTGTGTTAGTGACTGTGATATACAAAATGGTCTCTGTTATAAGTCCTCTGAATGGAATTTTACTTCAAGGTTCTCAGAGCAATATGACAGATACTGAATAAATATTGTTATTTGAGTACTACTACCAGTTATCTGACTAAGACCTGCTAGAATGTTTTTTAGCATACTTAGACTCAACAGTTATCAGTATTGTTGGCATTTTAAATATTTCTTACACTTTACATGAACCTGACGTCCCACAGAAATTTTTGGCCTATAGTTTCATATATAAAGAAGACTTTTTGGTGTGGTCTGGACAATTTACATGGCTATGTGACTAAAAATGGAAATTGGGTCTTTTTATAGATAAATCTTTTAAAGTGTTTCTTTACAAAGTTGTTTTTAAAGTAGAAAGTGTCTACCCAGCCACGAAAAAGTGTTATCTGAACATCACTTTTTTAACAATAAACAATGTATAGAATTTATGTAGATATAACAATCATTTTGGTGGCTCCTTGGAGGAGTGGCATTCAGTGAAGTTTTTGTAGTTTGTGAACCGTTCATGAAGGACTTCAGACTCAGAGAGTATATGCCATAAATTACTTGAGAATCCTAATAAAAAGTATTGGAGTTGTGTAACTGTTACCTGAATTTGATTAGATGCATTTATGCGAATGTCTGTGTTGGAAAAAAACATATGTACTGGTAATTTAAAATGCTGAATCATCACGAAATTATTCCTTCCTTGCTAAACGACAGTGAACTGGAGAAGTCTGTAGACTATACTGACAGGTAGTTATCTGATAGTTTGTGGGGGTTTTTGAGGGCCTGTGAAAGGGATTACAGTTATAGTGAAGACCGTATAAGACAAAACAGCTATATAAACCATGCTTCCTAACTGTGTCATACAGAGATTAACTATCTTATTAATAAAATTATCTTGCTAATTATGTCGGAATACTGACTCTTCTCTGCATGCCATGTGTTTACATAAACGCATTAAAATATAATATGTATTTTAATTATAGGGTGATGCTGGAGAAAATGGACCGAAGGGTGACACAGGAGAAAAGGTACACTACTTATTAGTAGAGAAGAAAATGTGTGCTTTAGGCATGCTTACAGTATAACCAACTAATGAAAATAATAATTTGATCAAAAGAAAAATGCATTTTCAACTCTTTTATTTTTGTAAAGATGCTGAGTGATTTGATTGAGTTTATTTTTATAAGCAGCAGAAAAAATGTTACTGTTCTATCCAATTAAGCATAAAATTCCTGACTTTATACAGCAGCAGCTTCAGTATAGGATACATCAGCATGTCTCTATTTAGCACTCCTCCTTGATGAAATTTGCATCATACGGAAACTTTGGTCACAACCTGCCAGACAGTTGGAACGAGGTCTGCTGAGTTATAGCTACTTCTGATATATCCTTTTACTTTTCCCCTTCTGTGTTCCCCTCAAAAAGAGGGACCAAACCAATATGGGACAAAAAATATGGTATCATGATAGGTAACTTCTTTCCAAATTGCCAGCTGCACAATTGAGAGTTGAAGATAAAAACTTTGTTTTAAATCTTTTTGCCAGGTGACGTCAGCAATAACCTCACCTAATACCTTGTTGGTTCATTGTTAAAAGTACCGTGTCATAGAAGTCACTAAAGAGTAGACGTCAAAATTTTATTTTACTTAGTTTTGATTTATTTTATGTGATACTCATGCTGCATCACTGCAAAAAAAAAAATAAAATTGAACTTGAGTTTTTAAATGTGCTTTACTTACACAAGTCATAGTCTTTAGCAGTCAGAGCAAAGCCTGTGTGGCACAGGAAGAAGGGTCAGTCATAATGATCCTTTCTGGACATCACTTTGGAACTCATACGCTTCTTAAAACATTCATTTTAGTGCCTACACTTGGGCAGAATCATAAAAATTTCTTCCTGTACCCCTATATGTGTAATTGCTTAACCAACTCACATCAGTTTAGTGCAAGGAGAAATTTATGATGGATTTATCAAACTAGTAAGGAATGTATGCAAATCTCTCAGGTCCTATCATTTGGACAGAGTAAAGCTATGCTTTCAAGAACACAAGGATTTTATGGGGCATATTCTAAAATCAGCAATTAAAAACAGACATTAGATTTAAGAATAGTCAAGTTATTTGATTCCCAGAGTTCATTTAAATAATACTTTATCTGCAGTCATGCTTGTTAACCCAGATGAAAGTCTTAAGAACCTTATTTAGTTCCTTACACAATGTATGCCAGTAACATCATCTTGATCCACTTTTATGTGATTCAAGAATATAATCTCTTAGCAAGTATGAGATTGTTGTTCAGATAGATAGTCCTGCAACAAGTAAATGCAAAGTTTACAATCTCTCTGGGAAGCCTAGTGCAGCTTCACTTGTTGCTTTTCTACTTTATCAACTGTGAGAGCGAGCTTGTATCCACTAGAATGCCCATACTGCACTGTGGTCTGCAGTACGCACATCTCCCTGCTTGGGATCTTGCTTAAGGAAAGAAAAAGTTCTCTCATTCTTTCAGTGGGTAATCCTTTCTCCCCAAGTATAATGTTTTAAATATTTCTGTGTGAGCTTTCAACAGTTTGGCAGTCTAGTTGGGATCAACTTGTGGAAAGTATACGTCATCAGGAGACTTCTTATATTGCTATACCTGACGAAATTTCAATAAACTTGTTGAACTTCATAATACAGAAGTCTCCCATTTCTTCCAGGTTTCACATAAGTTTCAGAGGTGGGGTGGTGACATGGGAATGTATGCTGTTTGTGTGGAGTGCATTGCTTTAAGCATAATAGGCTAGAATCCGCTGCAGGAATTTTTACGTCAGCAGAACTGTGACTTAGTAGACTTTCATTATTTTTCCTCCATTTTTGCTGCCTGCAACACAATCTGCTACCCAGAAAAAAAAAGATCCAGATCTTATAGAAGAGCAGCAGCTTAATGTTTCTGTGAGATAAATACTAAACTTTCGTTTATATGGTGAGAGAGATCAGGTGACAACAGTTTCAGACTTGGTTTAGGAATGGGTTCCTGTTTGTGCCATTAATGTAGCTTTGTTTTTTGAGCTGCTGTACCTAGTGGCTTTTAGAAACACAGACTTGGTAGCCTAATTCTTGACCTGTGACTTAAGAAAGAAACTGTCTTTTCTGAATTGTCTTACTTTGAAGACAGTGTCAATGCCAGACTTGAGTTCTTGCTTCTACTCTTCTACTGTAGCCTCGGTCCCTAGAAATTACCAAGTATCCTCCTCCTGTGTGCATATTCCCCTGCTAAAATTTCTTCATTTCCAAACTGCCTGACTCATCAGAGAACTGAGAACATGCTGTACCATAACTTTTTCTTTAATCACATATTAATTTGCATTCTTGCATGAAGGTGGTTTATAAATATATTGTGTCTTATCTTCCCCATATCTATCATTAGCCTTTAAAATGTTTAACTGGTGAATGTCTCTTACCAGTTGCTTTGCCACTTTATAGCTATAAAAAGTCCTTGAGGCTTTGCAGTTGTACACGCTTGTAAGGGATATCGGCAGTATCACTCATGCACGTCTATCAAAATGAAGCAGCTCAGGTTTCCAAACATGAATCAATCTTTCATAATACTGATTTTTATGTTTTGTTCACACGAGAGCAAACTGCAGTAACTGTGTAGAGGAAATCTATCCCTATTCTTCAGAGCAGTGAGCATGTTATCTGCTACCATTTAATTTTATAAAACTATTACCAAAAAGCCCCCATACCCAAACCAACTTTAAAATTATGGCATTCACAGAACTCTTCCTGCACCTTTGCTGAACCATCAGGAATGGGTATCCCCTATTTGTATGTTACTAAAAAGAATATTAAGCATTTATACTGTGCTTATACATCTTCAAAGTGGATTACAGTTCTGGCTCCTATGATACCTATGTAAATCGCTAGCAGGTTGCTGGGGAGCTTGAAGTTGCTACTGTGTAGGAACCTGTTACTTTCAGTGAACAGTCCAAATTTATTTTGAATAACGAATAATGAGACAGTTCTTCAAATATAAGCACTCTAGCCATCTTCAACAGCATGTAGTTTGACTAGCAAACTTTTCATTAATTTAGTTATTTTCCTTTTTGTTTGGCGTGTCATTTAAGAAAAAAAATGCAGCAGAGTATACAAGAATTTTAAGGATCCTGTGACAGTTGTACAAAACTGGGAGCTAAAAGCTTCCTTGGCCAGGTGTCATGGTTTAAGACCAACCAGTAACAAAGCACCACAAAGCTGCTCACGCGCTCCCAACCCCCAGTCCCAGTGGGATGAGGAGAAAATATAAAGAAAGGCTCGTGGGTCAAGACAAGAACTGGGAGAGATCACTCACCACTTATGGTCATGGGTGAAAGACAGGCTCAACTTAGGGAAGAAACAAAATAAATTTAATTTACTACCAATCAAATCAAAACAAGGATAATGGGAAGTAAAACCAAGTCTTAAAAACACCTTCCCCCCACCCCTCCCTCCTTCCTGGCTCAACTCCACTCCCCATTTTCTCTACCTCGTCCCCCCAGTGGCACAGGGGGACAGGGAATGGGGGTTGGGGTCAGTTCATCACACCTTGTCTCTGCCGCTCCTTCCTCCTCAGGGGGAGGACTCCTCACTCTTCCTCTGCTCCACCGGGGGGTCCCTCCCACGGGAGACAGTCCTTCACAAACTTCTCCAATGTGAGTCCTTCCCATGGGCTGCAGTCCTGCACGAACTGCTCCAGCGTGGGTCCTTTCCATGGGCTGCAGTCCTTCAGTCACAGACTGCTCCAGCGCGGGCTTTCCCACGGAGTCACGGCCATCTTTGGGGCATGCCCTTGCTCTGGCGTGGGGTCCTCCCCGGGCTGCAGGTGGGCATCTGCTCCCCCGCTCCCCTCCATGGGCTGGGGACACAGCCTGCCGTCTCACCATGGGCTGCAGGGGCATCCCCTCCTCCGGCGCACCTCCTCCCCTCCTTCTGCACTGACCTCGGGGTCTGCAGAGGGGTTCCTCTCACATTCCAATCCCACTGCTCACTGCAGGTTCCCCTTCTTAAATGTGTTCTCCCGGAGGCGCTACCACCATCACTGTTTGGGTCGGCCTGGGCCAGAGGCGGGTCTGACTTGGAGCCGGGGAAGCTTCGAGCAGCTTCTCACAGGAACCACCCCTGCAGCCCCTCCCCCACTACCAAAAAAACTGTGCCACACAAGCCCAAAACATCAGGTCACTCACGATCCTCTGCCCTTGTGCGTATCACTGCCTATCAAATCCAGTCAACCCAGCAAAACACAGGCAAAACTTTTTGAATGCTATATGCCTCCTTAGAAGAGACCTTTTCTGAATACGTAAATTACTATGGCTCTCCCATCCTGTAAAGTATAACACTTAACTGCATTAAACTGTCAGTTTAAATATGCTGAAGAGCTGTGGAAATAGAGCTGTGACCTGTCCCGATGGGGATAAACACATAGGTCACTGGGCTTTTTTTTCAAGGCAAACCTTCATTAGCACAAAAACCTTTGTCAGTTGAGACCTGATACTTGCCATCTGTAGAATTAGGTCAAAAAGATTGCTCGTATTCTTTGTAAATGGCAATAAATTATTTTTAATGTATATCAGCAATTTAGAGATGTCAAAGCATGTCCCATCTTCTGGCTTTATAAAGTACATTTATACAAAATCTGCAATTATTACATCTACATTATTAGTTGTGAAATTTGAGGTTAACTATTATGCTGTTCGGATGAGTGAAACTAAATCTCTCTGCAAGTTCTTGAAAACAGTACTGTTCTTTTTCTGAATCACACTGATCTAATTTATTGGGTAAACTCCTATGTAGCAGCACAGAGAACAGGTAATCTTGCTATATAGTTATTTTGCTATATAATCTTGCTATACTCTTGCATGTTTTGTTATATCTGTTTCCTGAAAAACTGTATATGTAATAAGTGTGATTATTTCTTGTGGATTTTGTATCAGGGTGACCCTGGTTCTTCTGCTGCAGGAATTAAGGTAATTTAGTTTTAAAGCACTTGTACAGGGAGAATAGGGGTGGCTGGTCTGTGTTACTTTGTAGTGTTGCAGACATTTTGGGTACTGTTAATGTTATGGTTTTCCCCAGCTCTATTTTTAGTTTATTTTGTCAGATCTCATGTCTTTCATCTCTTTTCTTTTAGGGTGAACCTGGTGAATCTGGACGGCCTGGACAAAAGGTATTAGTTGGAAATGTCCAGTTATCCTTTTCTTCTCTGTTGGATTTGTGATAAACGATGTTACACAGATGTTACTACTGGCACTTACCCGTACTAGGATGAGCCCAAGGCAGTACAAATTAACAGCCCAAGGCGTGTACAAATTCGGTGTATGATCATTTTGTATTTTAAAAAAGCACAGGACTGATGATACTAATTAACAGGAAAAGCAATATTAGACTAACCCATCTCCCCTTCTAGCCACGGAATGCTTCTTGCATTGAAAGCTTACCCAGTTGCAGCTGGTGAGACTAACAAAGAATGGCTGTGCTCGCTGAGTGATCACAAGTTAACCCTGCATGTTTGACTGAATATTAACCTTCAGATTATGGTACATTATTACGTCTCAGTAGGAAGAAAATAAATATTGACTAGAATCCCTTTCCCATATACCTGTAAGGGGGATCGAACTGTCAGAGGCACGCGGTATGTTTGGAAGGACGTAGACCAGGTAATGCCGCTCTGTTCTTTCCAGGGGAAGAAATTCCCCTGGGTGCTGTGTAGCTGAGGCTTTTGCAAGTAAAGGTCCAGCAGGAGCTGTAATGACTCTGTGCTGCATAAGGCCCTTTGAAGCTGGGGAATTTCCTCTTTGAATCCATAGTACATTGAACACAGTGAATGCTGTGCCTTCAGCTGCCTTTTATGAGAGTAGGAGGCAGGTCCTGCTGGGAGACCTGGTAAAAGGGCAAAGAGAAGAGACAATGAGGGAACCAGAGCTGTCCACCTGAATATTACTTACATGAAATGAAATGTGATGATATTTCAATGGCTTGTCAAGGCTGTTGTGTGCCATATGTATTGCAGAGGTGATGGAATGACCTGCCCTGCCAACCTAAGCATTATGAGATGGAGTTAGTATACAGCCTTGGTTTCTTTAAAAATCATTCTTCTCATAAATCATACTCAGATTTTTTGCATCAGGAAAGGTCCAGAAAAGAAAATACTATGCATTCATTTACAATACTAATTCTAATGAAGCATTAGCGATTTCATTGTGTTTCGTGATGTTTAATGTATCTTTGAGGCGCGTTTTAATTGTTTTAGATTACTATGACTCTGAATGGGCTTTGCTGGATCCTTTCTGCTTGTTATGTGTGGGTCTATGGTGGTTAGCTCTGTCCCAAGACTAAACAGTGACCTACTGCAGCAATACTAATAGATTATCACTTATAATTATTCAAATGCTGTGCTTAGAAGTGAAATTTAGTGCCTCCACAATTAGATGAGAAAAGGCCACAGTAGTAGTGGGGTATGTATGGCTACTCATATAAGAAACCTGAAGACAAAGGAGTGGGGTTTTCAAGTTAGCATTTTGTCAGGAATGAGTGCAATGGAGGCCTTTTATAGGGTTATCCTTTTGCAAGAATGACAACTCATTTTCTGCTTTAGAAAGTGTTAAGCAACATATCAAGAAATAATAGTATCTATTGAAAATGGTACCCTAGCCTCTATTCTTTCATCTGATTGTATAGTTAATATTTTGAGACTGGAATCTTTCCTGTGCTTTTAGGCAATGTGAACAGTTAAAATTATGGAGTAAATGAAATAGACAAAGCAGCTATTATCAGATCCTTCTATAACATTTAAAAATCACTCCATTTGGTAAAGTGATTTGCAGACCCTCTATTATGTTTTTCAGTTTGTGGCAGAATGTAATTTTGTTATTAGCGCTTCAAATTATTTAATATTACACCCTCAAAGAGGTGTCTTTGGGTACTGTAGTCTGATGAACATCTATATTATGTATACATGTGTTTATGTTTGTGTATGTATACATGTGTATATGTGAGTGTATGAATGTATGTCTGTGTATATACACACATAAAATATTTTAATAGCACAATCTGTATGAATCAGCCCAAACCACAGAGTTGAAATCTGGATTTCTATAAAGCTCTGAAGTGTACAAAATCTGGAATATAGTTCAACTCATTATAAAGGTAAAAGCTGGCTTCAGAGTTCAGACCTGAGCTTCCAGAAGGTTCAGGGAATATTCAGATCCAAGGTGCTGGTTAGAATCCATCTCTGTATTAAAATAAAATCTCCAGCCTTTAAAATAATGTTTTCTTCATGTGTTATTGCTCTTTTTTTTTTGTTCATCATCTTTATTTCCCTAGACAACATCTTTCCATTTAGCTATCTCAAAACGGCCATTTGTGCAAATGTTGTCATTCTTGTTCTAGACTAGTATCAACTTCATTTCAAAATTAATACATTCAGTTTTCAATTCCTGTTACAAAATTACCCCTGCAAATGCAGTACTATAGGTCTTTTCATTGCAATTTTAAATAAGCAAGGCATTTCTGAGTAAAGCAATAGAAGGTTACATTCCTACTATCCTTCATGACAGCATGTATATTCACAGATAAATAGCAAGCACTGAAATGATGCTACGGATAGCTCTATAAAAATGATGGCCCAGTTACAATTAGGCAGTCCTGCCTGAATTGTACAATTTAAACCAAGCTCTTCTGAATTGCTTTGTAGCTAAATCAGACAGCTACACAGCACAATATCTAGCTCAGAGTTGAAAATGGAACAGAATTAAACATCTGTCGTAAGTATGGAACTGAAACGGCAGCGTGTAAAATGAACCAGTGCTGCTTGTTTTCTTCTCTTTTGGTGAAGGCTAACATGAATTCATTTTTGGCTTTCCTGATGTGGATTTTCAGCCTGGGTGTCATCTTTACATCCAAGGTTCCCAGAGCCTTAACAAGACTCTTACTGGTTGTACATTTAAGTCACTCATTTTGAAAATTATCGGTCCTGCTTGAACCGACTAGCAGTCATCTATGCTCTTTTATCTTGCTGCAGAATATACAGGGGTGTTCACTGGATCGTGACCATAACTGAATAATGTCTGTAATATTATGTAATTTTCCTGTATAGGGTGAACCAGGTCTTCCTGGGCTTCCTGGACTCCCTGGGATAAAGGTAAATAAACTGTAGTCTCTGTTGTATTGGGGGGACACCACAAAGAGGGGGAGACTGCAAGAATGTGGCTAAAATGGACTTACTGTACTTGTGCTGTATCTTCTTCTGAGTCTCTGGTATTGAACTGAGGATTGTCACAGAAAGGTTTCACATGGAAACTTCGTTAAAGTGTCTATGAGTAAGCAAACAGTACATCTTACATTAAAATGTGAAGTAGAACATTGCATTCTAGTGCTTTAAAAAATAATCTAATATAGTAGGGTTTTGGTTTTTTGTGGTTTTTTTTTTAATGGAAGAGGCTTGTTTTCAAAGTTTTACTTGGTTTCCACTCTGATGGGTGCTTTCCAGTCGCAATAGTCTACTGAATTTACCATGCCTCCAGCTAGAGAACTGCATTAATTATACACAGGCTGTGGAGAACTGGCTCTGTTGACAAAAATACTCTGTGCTCCATTACACAGCAGTGATTCCACTGACAAGTCAAAATGTTTTAATAAGATTCTATTCAGTATTAGCTACAGTCCCTGACCTAATACCCGGTTTAGTCCCTGGCTTCCGGTTTGTCTGGGATCTTTAGGCACGTTGATACAAAAGACATGTGGTTGGTTTAGTTCTAGCATAAGTGGTTGCATTGGGAGTTGCAGACACTTGCACAGTTTGAGCTGTAACTCTATAATGCTGCACAAAGTGAGTGGCTTCACATATTCTGAGTGCAGATTAGAGTGGTTGCTTCTCCTTCGTGGCAAAGACTGTTCTTTCAGAAAACAAAATCTCTTTGAAATTTTTTCTTTGCGTTCTGGCATGGGCCTATGTATACCTCAGGAGACAGTTTATATCATTTCTCCAATAACAAGGGGGATAAGCCAGAGGCCAAACTCTTGTCCATTTTGGTAGGATTCAGGATTTATCTCGTGGAATGTAACATTTGCAGTGGTTTTATCAAGGGACCTGGGAATAGCCACAGTATTGAAGCATAATGTCCCTTCTGTGTTACTAGTGAATTATGGGAAGAATTGAACATGCATATTAAAGTTTGTATGTTGTAATACCTGAAAATATAGTTCCCAGGGAGGTTGTTCATTTTCTGTGAGAATGAACCCTATATTGACTAGTGAAGATCATGTAGGAGCAGAGTCCTTTGTGTGATGAAACTGTATTTTTTTAAGGACCTTTGACAGCAATCCTTATACTGTTTACTTTAACAGTGAGCAAACAGGTAGCTCAGTTGGAGGTCAGTGCCAGTGTTCTGGGGGCATTTGCCAAAACCAGCTGGAGTTACGGCTGGTCTTTGGGGACTCTGTGTTCATGCAGACCATGCATGTCCATCCATATCATCAGCAAGTAAATAAAAAAGTCTAAATCTGAGTCTCTGCTCTGGGAAAATTATTACTGTTAAGCTTTATTTGTTGGTGGTAAGAACGGCTCAGAAGGGCAGCTTTCCGATTCACCTGAAAGGCAAAATGTGAAGTGAAAAAATGGATGAAGTGTGGCAGTTTTGCCCAGTGAAAATTTGTTTCAGAAGTCAGTGGATACAGTGGAAAAATAGTAGTTGCCTGCAGAATGAAATGGAATAATTTGGTCAAATATTAATCCTTGAGGAGAATGCTAGCTTCTATTAAAAATCTAGGCCAGAGGGAGACTAGTTGTGGTTCAGTGAAGAAACTCCATCTAGTGCAATTCTGCATTGAGGTGGCTAGATGCACCCTAGGGTGGTAACAAGCAAGCTGGCAGAACATGCATAGGAGAGAGCAAAGAAGATGTGGTCACATCAGACTTGCAGGATGGGTGCTGTTTGATTCAAGGCATTTTTAAACTCTGTTTAATTAAGGAGCCTGTAGAAAAAAGCCTAGATTTTCTGTCACAGAGACTATATCTGTGTCATGAGAAGTGGTAGCAGAAACTAGAGAATGGCTTGAGTTAGGAATATGGGCACTCATCAGCAATGAAAAAGCAGTAGTTTAGCCCCTTTTCTCAGCCTCTGTTTTAGCAAAGATTTATGTATCACCATGGTAAAATCATCTCATCAATTCCCAAGAACAACCTTAGTGATATCCCAATTCCAGTGAACTGATGTTGATTGAGAGCTACTTTGAAATAACAGTGACTGCATGAGAAACTTCAGCATGGAGGGAATCCAATTGTCTGGACTTGCAATCTGTTGGTGCTATCATGGTGTTTCCACAGAAAATTGAAAGGAATCTTATTTGGAGCAATGACTTTTTTTTTTTTTTCTCCCTGATTGTTCCTTGTTGTTTGTTACATTTTTTTCAGGGCTTTTGGGGTCTGTTTCCATCAGGACTTTATAAAACTCTCAAAGATATGTCTTTGCTATTCTATCTTAATAGTGATATGCAGCAGTGGCATAATGCAACAGACATAGTACAAACGTCACACAATGTCATTACAACATCTAGGGACTTGTTACAGCTTGTAAGAAGTTTCCATAAGGGAAGTTTTTCCTAAGACTTAAATGGATTACAGAGTTCTCGTGCATTTGCGTGCCAGCACATTAGCTCTCAGCAGGGATTTTGCAGGCTATTCCCAAACTTTGTGAGATGGACATCTGGCAACCCAAGCAAAACGCTAGCAGGGGCATGTAGGAGAAAGTGACAGGGTTCAATACAAGGCAGTAGCTACTTAATCTCTTTCCCAGTAGGAAAAACTAAATATTCTTGTATTGCTGGTATTATGTTGCTACTATTCTTGTTTTCTGCAGTATTTTCCCCTGCAGTTTCTGTTACATTATGCAAGCATGCACATGCACACTCAAAAGTCTTCTACAAAATTTTCTGTTGAGATCCCTTGCAGCTAAAAATCTTTAGGGTTCTCACTGCACTTTTTGATCTTTCTTCAGTCTTGTATAACTGGAATTACAGAACATTCTCCAAATTTGTGTCTTCCTATGATGTTCTAGGAATTAACACATTCTATTTGTTTTTTGGCTTTTGCCCTGAGTTATTGGTAAAACACATTTCTCAAGCAGGTTTGAAAGGTTAGCCCTGGGTGGCAAGTGCATCTGACATGCATTAACTCCTGTAGATGAATGGATATAGCTCAAACTTTTGTTCAACTGGCCAAGTAGTCAAGGAATGGGGAAAATATATTTTCTGGAAATTAGATAAATAAATAGCAGAAGTTCATATCCATTTGATATACAGCAACTCAAATCACACAGGTGATTTCAAATGAACGGACTAGCTGTCTGAGGGTCATGTTTACAGAGCTTTTATGTTCTAAACATAAATTGGAATTGTCGGATGTTGACGGACTGATATGTACAGGCATCTACAAGACAGGTGAGAAGAAAGAGGCAAGAGAAGGCTCTGTGTTGCCTAATTTTGAAAGAATTTCCTTTAGTATCTTCTAGTACTTCCATGTAAAGAAAAGAAGATCTAGATATAGGGATAGTCTAGACAGAGGAAACTCTTGGATGTAGTTCTGGTCTTAAATATTTACCGTTTGACTATTGTGTAAGGAATTGAAGTCTCTTTTTCTTTAAATCTGTTAGTTGAACTACAAATTTGCTTTCTTGTGAATGAATCTCTCGACAGTGACAGGCTATACTATGAAATGTTTTAGGTAGCTCTGCACATACATAGCACTCTTTACAAATACTAAACCAGCCTGTGAAAACATAAATGCCATGCCAGGCAGTGGACCATATCTTTCCAGCTACATCTCATCTTCTCATGGTTGAAGAAGGTTCCCAAGGCATCCAGTCCAGTATGCTTGAACATGTAGCCAAACTACTTAAAGGATTAATGAATACTAATCACTGGGAAAGTTTCAGCTTCTTATAATGCCATTTCAATTAATTAATCAATGTTCCCAGGAACCTGTTAGAGCTTGGTTGAACGTGATACTGGAGTCTGAATGAACAGTAATATTGGACAGACATCCAAGTATCATATCTGAATTCAGAGTATGCAGCAGGGTCTTTTATCACTTACTTTTCTAGACCCATTCACTACACACATGCGGATGTTTTGAGAGTTCTTCCTGTTCTTTTTCGTTCTCTCCTCATTGTCAGTTGGTGCCATGGAGGAAACACAAGCGCAGTCAGTTATTTCCAAGACAGTGATGAAGCTGTCTGTGACATGCTGGAGAAACGTTTCTCAAGCACCTGTTGCTGTTTAGGAATGGCTGGAAACTTAATGAGCCCCTGAATGTGTTCCACCATGTCACTTGGGAAGCGAGTAAGGCACCTAAACACAGAATATTAACTCATCGCTCTGATATCCCCCAACTGACACCAAGCAGACGCAGAATACTTTCTGTGAAACACAAACTTCATATATCTGTTTTACCTCATAACTTTCATGGGGTGATACATACAAAGCAGCACTCACTCCCTGTAATGGAAATCATGCATACCCGTATTCGTTGTAATGTCAGACATCTCTCAAATCCATTGTGTTGCATTTCCTGGCATTCAGGCAGTACAGTCCTCAACTTCTTCGCTGCAGTGGGAAGCCTTCACGGAACACAAGCCTCTTCTCAGTAGCAGCACTTTATGCAGGATCTGGCTTTTCTTTAGCATTTCTGGCATTTCTACCTCTGTTTTTAAAATAAATACTGAAACAAAGCTTGTGAGTGCAACTAAGTTTTTATTCTGTGGTGTTCATGAAAACTGCTGTTGAATGATTTGGCACAAGAAAAGAAAGGCTGCTTAGCCCTTCTGCTTTTGGGAGGTAGGGAGAGTTTTTGGCGTTTTCAAATCCAGTGGAACTGGCTGATTCAATAGACTTGCCAGTATACAGCATCTTGTATCTTTTTATACAATTACTTTGGATTCACTTCCCTGGGACTGTGCCTGAGCAAGGTTTCAGAAGAACCTGGATAAGGGTATAGGAATTTGAATAATTGTTTTTTTATGTTCTTTTTCTTTTTATGAAAGCAAAAGCAGTTCTAATTTTCATCTGTTCTCTACTTAAATTTTGTTTTCTGTTCTTAAATCTTTCTTTCTGTTCGTATTCAAAGATCTTATCCTGTGACTTTCC